TTTTTTTTATTGGATAGTCACACATCATATCAAGGCCGCAATCTATATTGGACGAACAGAAGCGTTTAATTCAAGTTCTCTTGGTTGAAATCGGAGACCTTATCGAGATAGGTGCAAAAAATGGGCCGTGAAGTATCACTTGCACACGTTGATGATGGTATAAAAGCGGTGACGAATACGATCAGAGCAGCCGCGTCCTTTGGAGATTATTTCATTGCTGTTTCTGATTCAGTCGTATCGAATTCAGTGGTTAAGGAATCACTGTCGCCTAAATCTACTTTGATTTGCTTTCCCGAATTTTCGTTTGTTACAAACTTAAGCGTTATGGTCTAAGACTCTAAGGCTGGGTTGCTACTGATCCGTTAGTTCCAAAACAGTTCCAGCACAGGCTCGGTTTTCTTACCTGCTGGAACTGCTCTTGAACTTATGGATCGTTATGAATCCAGCCTGTAGGGCGGAGGAAAAAGCGAAAAAAAGTGATTATCCTTGCAAATATTTGCCGTGCATTTCAGAAGTGTTCCTCTCTCAATCACATTTGATTTTCAGAATGCGCTCAATTACGTTCTGTCTTCTATTCGCATTCCTTATCGTATGTTTCGCTGAGGAAGTGTTGGAATTCAGCCCTGACGATATTCCAGCCGAGTTAGTTTAATTAATCACATGCATGCGAGTTTAGGTAAATGGTTTTTCTAGCGCTCCCATCATACGAGAAAAGAGACAATATTGGGGAAGCTATGGCGGGTATGGGGGAAGATGGCGTAGACGATATGGCTATGGAGGTTATGGTGGCTACGGTGGTTACGGCTATGGTGGCTACGGTGGCTATGGAAGAGGTGGCTGGTGGTAACTGAAGTCTCGTCTTTATGATAAACTCGACCAGCAGCTTCTGCGTTGTATATTCTGTATTTTTGAGCTTGTATGTAACGTTTAATAAAATACCTTCGCTCACATTCTATGCAGAAGAGGTCGTGTAGAGTGATAGAGTTGCTGCAAACACGATCAGCTTAATTTTGATCTTCTAAAAAATGTCACAAAGGCATTGTTGTT